TGATTCGTTTCAATTAAAAGGAACTTGGAAAACATTGTCTGTATGTTGCTTCCTTGAGCAGATCCAGCGACTCACAAGTTAGATGATGAAATTTGGGCATGTATTATTTGTGAATTTATTCCATTACTTATTATTAAAGGCCCATTATACAGAAGTAATTCAAGGTCAAGGTCAAGGTCAAAGTGGGCTTTTTTTAAAGATCTTCTTCAGATCTAAAGTCATCATTTCTTAGGGAACTGTCCAGGTCACAATACACACAATTGGATACCAACTATAGGCAAACTCTGCTTTGCCTGATGTACTCCTAAACATATACCAGTAAAAATGAATTTCTTTAAAGCAACACACAAGAGGCTTGCAATTTAAACAAGACTATGTAGTGTATAATTCTTCAGAGGAAATTATCTCTTAACTTCCCATTTTTTGAAAACCTGATTTTTCTATCGCCCATGTAAATAGTTCAAGTTATTCAAGCCAACTTAATACTCCTAGTGTCACTCTTCCAACTTTTATTTATTTATTTTTCAGTATCTCAAATCACCAAACACAGTGGAAGGATATGGTCCTAAAGTTCTTATCTTTGCTAAAAAAAAACCAGCCTGGCCGGGCACAGTGGCTCACGCCTGTAATCCCAACACTTTGGGAGGCTGAGGACAGTGGATCATGAGGTCAGGAGATCGGGACCATCCTGGCCAACATGGTGAAACCCCATCTCTACTAAAAATACAAAAATTAGCTGGCAGTGGTGGCACACGCCTATAGTCGCAGCTACTGGGGAGGCTGAGGCAGGAGAATTGCTTGAACCTGGAAGGCGGGAGTTGAAGTGGGCTGAGATCGTGCCACTGCACTCCAGCCTGCAGAGAAAGCGAGACTGTCTCAAAAAAGAAAAAAAAAATCAGCCTTTCCTCAACCCGACTGCACACTCAGCCTGGTAGTACAACATGTTTTCTTTTTTCCCTCTCTCTTCGGAAATAATTTCCTTGAAAGAATTATCTACACATCTCTATGTCCACTTTCTTATTTCCACTGGTTCTTCAGCTCCTGTGACCTGGCTTCTGTCCCCACCACTCCTGAAGGGCTCCTGTCGGGGTCTCCGAGGACTTGACTTTTGTGAACACATCCCCTTTACAAAGATCTCCCTTCAGGCTCCCAAAGGAGCCCTCTCCAGTGTCTTGTTGGGGCATGGCTGTCTATTCCTCAGTCTCCTTCCAACACTCATCTCTCCAGTTCTTAAATTTAGGTGGCATTCACAGGTTCTCTCCTCGTCCGCCCCTCACTGTCTCCTTGAGTGATTTCATTCACTCATCACTTCACCTGCTCCCTTTGGTTCTCTTGTCACATAGAGCTCTGGCCACCCCTGTGTTCATGACATGTCTCCACCCAGATGCACCTTGAACCAGAGGTTGGCAACCTTTCTCTGTAAAGGGTCAGGCAGTGAATATATTTCGCTTTCTGGGCCATGTGGCCTGTGTCTCCTCAACTGTGTTGTAGTGCAAAAGTAGCCATAGGCAATACGTAAGTGAATGGATATTGCTGTGCTCTCCAGAAATAACAAAAGCAGGCCACATGGGCCACAGTTTATAGCACCTGCCTTAAACCACTGTCCTGACCTGCACATCTGCACAGGTTCTCCCCACCATGTTCCCTTTCTTGAATTTCTCCACCTTCACCCTCTCACTAGAGCTGGAGGAATCTCTTAAGTCTGCTTTCTCACTCCCTTCCATCCACCCTTGGTCACCAAGCCTTCCTCTCCATCCCCACTGATGATCCTGTTACAGTTTTCATAATGTCTCTTGACTAACGAGGCCTTCCCCTCTTTCTTTTAGGCTTCCAGCCCCCTGAGTTTTGGCTAAGCATATGGCTACCTCGTGGGGACTATATTTCCTAGCCTTCCTTGCAGCTAGATGTGGCTGAGTGACTAGGCTTAGGCCAGGAGTAAGTGAAGTGTCTACTAAGACAAAACTGCAGATCCTGGACTTGTTCCACTGGAGTGGCAGCAATCAAACAAACCTTGGAATCCATGTGTTAAATTTGAAGAACTGCTAGGCATGAATCTGGAAGTCTGGTTCATAACAGAGAAAGTCTTTTTGTTACAGCAACTCAACCCATACACAGCCAGTTTGCCCACTTCCCTCCCTGTGCACAGTCTCCCTGTCCACCAATCCTTTCTCAACATAGCAGTCTCTTACAGTGCAAATCTGATCATGACACTCCACACTTAAAAGATGAACAAGCAAATAACAAGAGAAATTGGGCTGGGCATGGTGGCTCACGCCTGTAATCCCAGCACTTTGGGAGGCCAAGGTGGGTGGATTGTCTGAGGTCAGGAGTTCAAGACCAGCCTGACCAATATGGTGAAACCTTGTCTCTACTAAAAATATAAAAATTAGCCGAGTGTGGTGGCATGTGCCTGTAGTCCCAGCTACTCAGGAGGGTGAGACAGGAGAATTGCTTGAACCCGGGAGGCGGAGGTTGCAGTGAGCCGAGATCGCACCATTGCACTCCAGCCTGGGTGACAGAGCAAAACTCCGTCTCAAAAAAAAAAAAAAAAAAAAAAAAAAAAAAAAAAAAAAAAAAAAAAAGGAGAAATCACTGCCTTCAAGAGTATTACAGCAGGATGAAGTGATAGAGGAACGGAAGAGCTCATTTACGTTGTATAGCGAGTGAAGGGCTCTGTGAAGGTGGCAGGGAGAAGTCAGGCATGCAATGTTCAGGGAAAAGATATTCAGGCAGTGAGCACGACTAGTGCAAAGTTCTTGAGGCTTGGTTTGTCCCAAAAGCAGAAGGAGGAAGAGCGTGATTAGAGCTCTTATGATAAGTTCCCATTGAAGGGTAAACTCAGCCTCACTAAGGCGTTGAAAAGGGCTGGCCATAACCTCAGGGCGGCTAGATGGGTCTAGCAAGCTGTTACCTGCAACACTGTGGTGGGTGGGAGAAAGGAGGTTGGAGCTGAACACCTGCCTTCCTCTGGCCACGACATGGAGCCTGGCTTGGAGTGCTGCTTACTCCAGGGGTTCCTGAATCAGAAGCACACGAAGGGCAAGCCTCTGTCTCAGAACTGGCCCTGTGGATTGGTACAGGGGCTGTGGACCCCACCCTGAGTCACCTCTCCAGCCTGATTCTCACCACTGCCTCCTTGCCCTTCACATTTCAGCAGTCCATAAACCTGCACTCCAGGAGCACTCCTTCACAGTAAGCATTGCCCTGCCTTAAGAACCTGCCCTTGGCCAGGCACAGTGGCTCGTGCCTCTAATCTCAGCACTTAGGGAGGCTGAAGTGGGCCGATCACTTGAAGTCAGGAGTTCGAGACCAGCCTTGCCAACATGGTGAAATCTCATCTCTACTAAAAACACAAAAATTAGCCTGGCATGGTGGTGGGCGCCTGTAATCCCAACTACTCAGGTGGCTGAGGCAGGAGAATTGCTTGAACCTGGGAGGTGGAGGTTGCAGTGAGCCAAGATTGCACTACTGCACTCCAGCCTAGGTGGCAAAGTAAGACTGTCTCAAAAAAAAAAATAAATAAAAAAAAAGAACCTACCTTTAGCTGGTTGTGGTGGTTCACATCTGTAATTCCAGTGACTCCAGAGGACAAGGAAACAGGAGGATTGCTTGAGGCCAGGAGTTTGAGATCGGCCTGGACAACAGAGTAAGACCCCGTCCCTAAAAATTAAAAATTAAAAATTTAGCTGGGTGTGGCAGCCCAAGCCTGTAGTCCCAGTTACTTGGGAGGCTGAGGCAGGAGGAGTGATTGAGCCCAGGAGTTGGAGGCTACAATGAGCCAGTCAGCTATGATCACACCACTGCAATCCGGTCTAGGTGACAGAATGAGGCCCCACCTCTTAAAAAAAAAAAAACCTGCCCTTTACCCTTTCTCAACCTGACAAGTTGACTGACTTGTCTTGAAGGTTTGGTACCACTTGGAAGCTTCCTCTGCTCCATACCTGGGGTGATGCCCTCTTCTGGGATGCTCTCACCGCTACACACACAGTAGCTGCCAAAGCTCAGTCCAACTTTAGTTCCAGCCCTACTAGGTCTTCTCAGGACTCAGGTTATCCAGGCGGAAGGAAGGCTGTGCCAGGTACCAACTACCCCACGTGGGATTGCCAAGATAAATCCTTCACATTCAAACTAGTCCCGCAACGTCCGTCAACTCTATCCCTAACAGCAAATTGCCACCTTTAGTCCACTCCATAGTGCCCTCTGGAAGGTCATCAAAAGACAGTTATGACCATACCAAAATATGATTCTTGACACAGAACCAAAAGTTATTTTCAATTTATTTTTTTTCTATTTTTAGAACAATAATAATAATAATATTTAAAATCATATTTTTCTGGGATATAATGAAAACTGTGTTATTTCAGTTGAATTTGAAATAGAATTCATGGTCTAAAATAGACTGAATCCCAGTGTGAACATGTATTTGCATGCCTTCCTGGTCATCATTCAGTTGGTGCAATTGTCAGACGTGCAACAAGAAGAGAAGTGAGCATTGCAGCACTGTGGCCTGTGGCCACGGTGATGGTGGGACAGCCCCACAGAGGCCACACCAGGTGACTCTCAGCTCGGTGGGTGGGAGGGGGAGTGTCTCTGTGTCCCTCTAGCACACACATCCTCACACGGCCTCACATAGTCTTTTTTGCATTTGCTAGGACATCTCAACACCTAGGCTCACAAAATTCTGGCATCCTTTGGATTATTTAAACCCATGGTCCCCCAAGATGGGGATTCCAAGGAGCAGGGGGGAGCCTCGAGGCAGCCCAGACTCCCAGCTACAAACCTCTCTTTCCAGAATTCCACTGCCACACCTTGGCATATACCAAATGTTGACAAAGAAGGCTGTTCCCGTACAAGGGCCAATTTTAGAGCAAGCTCCCTCTGGTTTGAAAACTGTAAAACCCTCAACCCCAAAGCTGTGTGTAGTGCTTTGTGTGTGACAGGGCTGGGGCAGATCTCTCTGATGCACTCAGGAAAACCATTCCCTTTGCTTGTGGTAGGTGGCCCCTGGTGGCTGCTCTGCCCTTGCCAAGTGTCTAAGGTCTGTGGGCATGTTTCTCATTTGCTGTGAAACACCCTCCCCACCCTTGCAGAGAAAGAGTCTTTTGTGCAGCCCCCTTTAAAGGGTGACTCGTCCCACTTGGGTTCTGTCTCCTGGTGCAGGGTTGCAGGCAAGTTGATTAGAGCATCGCCATGAAGTTCATCCCCTGCCTCCTGCTGGTGACCTTGTCCTGCCTGGGGACTTTGGGTCAGACCCCGAGGCAAAAGCAAGGAAGCACTGGGGAGGAATTCCATTTCCAGACTGGAGGGAGAGATTCCTGCACTATGCGCCCCAGCAGCTTGGGGCCAGATGCTGGAGAAGTCTGGCTTCGCGTCGACTGCCACAACACAGAGCAGACATACTGGTGTGAGTACAGGGGGCAGCCCAGTATGTGCCAGGCTTTCGTTGCTGACCCCAAACCTTACTGGAACCAAGCCCTGCAGGAGCTGAGGCGCCTTCACCATGCATGCCAGGGGGCCCCGGTGCTGAGGCCATCCGTGTGCAGGAAGGCTGGGCCCCAGGCCCACATGCAGCAGGTGACTTCCAGCCTCAAGGGCAGCCCAGTGCCCAACCAGCAGCCTGAGGCTGGGACGCCTTCTCTGAGGCCCAAGGCCACAGTGAAACTCACAGAAGCAACACAGCTGGGAAAGGACTCAATGGAAGAGCTAGGAAAAGCCAAACCCACCACCCTACCCACAGCCAAAGCTACCGAGCCTGGACCCAGGCCTGGAGGGAATGAGGAAGCAAAGAAGAAGGCCTGGGAACACTGTTGGAAACCCTTCCAGGCCCTGTGTGCCTTTCTCATCAGCTTCTTCCAAGGGTGACAAGTGAAAGACGCCTACAGGTAACACCCTTTCCTTTACTCACATACCGAGACTACGTGAGCGGCACTTAGCACTTTCACAGCTACTGCGACCACATCAGTCTCAGCGTGTGTTTGGGGGTGGGTTTGAGGCTGTCTGTTGCAGAGTAGAGTAGATGAGGTGGTTCATCAGGGCTGGCACTTACCCTGGGGATGCACAAGAATCACCTACAAGAAGCTCTAAAAATGCGGATGTCCAGGCCCCTTGCCAGACGGTTCCATCTATGTCTCCAGCAGAGCAGAGCAGGAATGTATACTTTTAAAACGCTCCCCCAAGGGATTTGACTGTGCAGCCAAGGTTGAGAATCTCCTTGTGATGGGGCCACCCCACTGTTAAACTTAGGCCTTTGGAATTCTGCTGGGTGACGTTTCCTACTGAACCAAGCCTTGGCTGCAGCTGTTTGTGGCCGAGGTGCTATGTCACGGTGGAGGTGTCGCCACACCCCGTCTTGTTTCCTCTCCTGTGGTCGAGTTAGGGTGGGGGGTGGTGTGCACCGAGGAAAGTTTGAGTCAAATAATCTTCAAAGTCTTTCTCACAGCTCTCAAAGCCTTTAACTGTTTTTTGTTCATCACAGAAGAGAAAATCTAATAATAACAGATTTAATCAACTCCAAGTATTGCTTTTAAAAGACCAAACTTTTTTCTTGTGGAAATAAAGCTTATTACTGATCTTTCTCCTTAAATGCAGCAGCTTTCATTAGTTTTATACATCAGCAAGGAGTTCATTTACATGGGATTCTAGTCTTGTTCGTGCATTTTGAGTTTAAAAGGAGAGTTTCTGAGGGTTTTCATATTATCCATGTCAGAAAAATAGGAAAAAAGCAGATTTCCTGATAAGCAGCACTTTGATAACTAATACCACAAAACAAATAAGGCTTTTTCTAATAGTGCCCAAGCAGCAAGAAATGTCGGGTCACGCCAAAGTTGTTCTGGTGTCTGCTGCTGTGGGCTGGAGATTTCCTGCTTGTTTAATGTTTCAAATCAGTCCCAGAGGAGAAAATGGTCCCCTTAAGCCAAAACAAAAAAATTACTGTTGAGGGGAGGTGCTTGTTTTTTTTTTTTCTTTTAAAAGTTGATTTTTTTGGTCTTTCCACAAATAAGACACACAAATCATTTGAAAAATTCAAACACAACAGAAAAATACAAAGAATTTTAAAACTTCATCCATAATCTCACCACACAGAGATAAACAATGTTAACCATTAGAAGAGTACCCATTTAGACATCCATCTATGCATATTTATACAGACAGATGTGCAGCTTACATACAGATGCATACAGGTGCTAAAGCTTAAAACAGTATCTTGGTCCTGCAGATGAACCACGTAGGACTACTGTATTAGCTTGCTAGGGCTGCCATAGCAAAATACCACAGACTGGGTGGTTTAAACAGCAGAAACATATTTTCTCACAATTCTGGAGACTGAAAGTCCGAGATCAAGTGTCAGTAGGATTGGTGTCTTCTGAGGACTCTCCTTGAGTCATAGATGGCAGCCTTCTCACTGTCATTCCTCTGTGTGGATCTGTGTCCTCATCTCTTTCTGTTAGGACACCATTCATACTGGATGAAGTCCCACCCTAACAACCACCTTTAACCTTAACCACCTCCTTAATGGCCCCTATCTTTAAGTACAAACACTCCCTGAGGTACTGGAAGTTAGGACTTAAGTCTACGGTTTTTAGGTTTGGGGAGGGACACAGGTCACACAATTTTTTTTTTTTTTTTTTTTTCAGAGCGGACCTCTCCCTGACAGAGAACCATCTCTTTTTGTATTATGCTGCTTTCAGTCCAACGTTCTCACACTGGAAGAAGGGAGTTTCTAACCAGATGCAACTGGCCAAATTCTTGATCTGCAGCTTCTCTGAAGTTTGGAAAAGAAACCTTCCTTTCTGGAGTTCACAGAGTTCAGCAATATGATAGGGAACAGGTGCTGATGGGCCCAAGAGTGACAAGCTTACACATCTACTTTTTCTCTGTAGAAGTTTTGCTTTGTTGATCTGAGCCTGCTATGAAAGTTTAAATCTGTAACACATTCATGAATTTCCAGTTTAGCCTTCTGAGCAAGACATGAATTTGTCACATTTCATTGCATGGCAACAGGGACTTGGAGTTAGAGGAAGTTCAGTAAATAGCAGCTATGTGTGTGCAAAATAAAGGAATGACTTCAGAAATACGATTTTAATCTTCTTAACGAACGCGATACCTAGATGCTATAGAGATCATGGATACCCATTAAGTCATGGTATTTTATTCAGGCTGCCATGATGCATTACACAGACTAGGTGGCTTAAAGCAACAGAAATGTGTTCTCTCACAGCGATGGCGGCAAGAAGTGCCTCAAGATGTCACCAAAGTTAGTTTCTCCTGGGGGGTCTGAGGGAAAATCTGTTCAATGCCTCTCTCTCCATTTCTTAAAGTTGCCAGAATCCTTGACATTCCTTGGCTTATAGACATATCACTCTAATCCCTGACTCTGTCTTCACATGGAATTTTCCCTTGCGTGTATGTTCACATTTCCCTCTCCTGATAAGGGCACCAGCCATTGGATTAGGGCCCATCCTAATCAAGAATGACCTTGTCTTAACTCCATTGTGTCTGCAAACACCCTATTCCCAAATAAGATCATATTCACAGATTCCAGATGGACATACATTTTTGGCGGGCACTAGTCAACCCAGCACAGCCACCGTGCAGCAATAGCAGCTAGCCAAAAAGGTAGAGAAGTGAACCTGAAACAGAACAACCCTGTACACTCAGCAATTAAATTAATCAATAGAGTTGGAAAGGAAGGAAGTTGGATTTTACTAGACATACGCAAAAAGTGACTCACTCTCTTCTTAATTTCATATTTGTTTTACCTAAGAACACATTAATAGTCCACTCTCTGTCTTTTTTTTTTAACGGCTATTTATTTATGTGTTTATTTTTTTGAGATGGAGTCTCGCTCTGTCACCCAGGCTGGAGTGCAGTGGCGCGATCTAGGCTCACTGCAACCTCCACCTCCTGGGTTCAAGCGATTCTCCTGCCTCAGCCTCCCAAGTAGCTGGGACTACAGGCTCGCACTACCATACCTGGCTAATTTTTATATTTTTAGTAGAGACAAGGTTTCACCATATTGGTCAGGCAGGTCTCGAACTCCTGACCTCAGATGATCCACCCACCTTGGCCTCCCAAAGTGCTGGGATTGCAGGTACGTGCCACCACGCCCAGCTAATTTTTGTATTTTCAGTAGAGACAAGGCTTCACCATATTGGTCAGGTTGGTCTTGACCTCCTGACCTCAGGAGATCCGCCTACCTCGGCCTCCCAAAATGCTGGGATTACAGATGTGAGCCACTGTACCTGGCCCAATAGTCCACTCTTGATGTACTTAAATTGTTTCCCCATCTAGCCCAGCAGTGCCCAACCCTAGCTACATAATGGAGTCACCTGGGGCAACTTTTCAAAAACACTGGTGCTTGGATGTCAGCCCCAGAGGTTACAGTGTAACTGGCCAGGGATGGGGCCGAGCATGTGCAATTTTACATTTCCCCTAGTGACCCTAATATGCAGCCAAGGTTGAGAAACACTGCCCTTGATTCACTGAATTAGAATCTCTAGGGTGTATCCTAGGTAATCTCCAGGCAATCCTATGTGTAACCTGAGTTGAAGACTACTAATATGGCCTCTATATGTAGTTCACACAATGAACAAATATTTATTCATCATCAACTATGTCCTAGGCACTGTGCAAGACATTGGATAGGGGAGAGATGAACTAACTGACTAGGTTTCACATCTTAGAAGTGCAGTGAAGTAGTGGAAACCAAGACAACACATTGATGAGTGTAAGAGATGACATAGAAGGCTGTAGGTGGGGGTAGCCAGGGGACATTTGCTGGGGTTGAGTTTCTAAAATATATATACATCAAATATCTACTGTGACATACCAAGTCTATTTCTTATAAGGGCTCTGAGCCTTTCACTTGCCCCCTCATATAACTCTCACCACATCCCCAAGAGGTAAATAGTTTTATTCCCAATTATAAATCTTGCCTGGAGAGGTGACTTATACACAGCTTGTAAGAGTCAGGACAGCAGAGAAATCCAGGTCCACCTAATTCTACCGCTCATGGCGTTCAATTTATAAACATCACAGGGTAGGCTGGGATTTGTTACAGACCATTTTTCACCAACATTTTAAACTAAGGTCACCATACAGCTGACCAGTGATTTTAATGACGAAACACAATTCAAATCTGTGCTACCCAAAGGGTGACAGGTGGGCCAGAGGTAACTGCTTCTGCTGGGGACTTTAGAAATGCTCACTCTCAGCCAGGGGTGGTGGCTCATGCCTGTAATCCCAGCACTTTGGGAGGCCGGAGGCAGGCAGATGACCTTAGGCCAAGAGTTTGAGACAAGCCTGGCCAACATGGCGAAACCCTATCTCTACTAAAAAATACAGAAAATACCTGGGTGTGGTGGCAGGCGCCTGTAATCCCAGCTACTCAGGAGGCTGAGGCAGGAGAATCACTTGAACCAGGGAGGTGGAGGTTGCAGTGAGCCAAGATAGCGCCACTGCACTCCAGCCTGGGCGACAGAGCGGAACTCCATCTCCAAAAAAAAAAAAACAAAAAACAAAAAACTAATTCTCAGGCCCCACCTCAGATAAACTGAACCAGAGTAACTGGGGTGAGGCCCAGAAATGTGTATTTTAACATGTCCATGTGTTCCATGAACAGTAACATTGGCCAAGCAATATTTCAGTCATCCTAAAAGGAAAGGCTTTATTAAACCTTAAAGCAGATAATTCTGACATATGCTACAACATGGATGAACCATGAGTACATTATGCTAGATAAAATAAGCCAGTCACAAAAGACAAATACTGCATGATTCCACTGACACGAGGTACCTAGACCAGCCAAAAATCATAGATATACTCAAAGTAGAATGTTGGCTGCCAGAGACTATGGTGAGGTGAGAATGGGAAGTTGGTTTAATGTTTATAGAGTTTTAGTTTCATAAGATTAAAAGAGTTCTTGACGTGGATAGCAGTGATGGTTGCATAACAAATGTAATTAATGCTACTGAACTGTACACTTAAAATGGCTACGATGGCATGGCATATTTAATGATATATGTATTTTATTTGAATTTTTAAAAAAAATTTAAAAAGGAAAAGGAAATTATTTTCACCAAAAGATACTGAAATAACAGCATATCCATAAGAAAAATGTGAATACCATTACTTGATACAAAAAATAAACTGAAATTGGTTTATATACCAAAATGTAAAAGGTGGTTTCTCCCTAGTACTGGGGGTGCTCCTTTCCTTCGACAGTGACATAATCTGTTTGCTCTAATTCAGTAACTGCTACATCCATCTTTATTAATCAAGTACTCACCCACAGCCAGGCCTTTCTCATCGATGAGCCA